GGGACGTCATTCTCCCCTTGTACTCGGCCTTGGTGAGGCTGCAGCTGGAGTACTGCGTCCAGTTTTGGGCTCCAGAATTCAAAAAGGATGTGGAGAAGCTTGAGAGAGTCCAGAGAAGAGCCACGCGCATGATCAGAGGTCAGGGAAGCAGACCCTACGATGACAGGCTGAGAGCCCTGGGGCTCTTTAGCCTGGAAAAGCGCAGGCTCAGGGGTGATCTGATGGCCACCTATAAGTTTATCAGGGGTGACCACCAGTATCTGGGGGAATGTTTGTTCACCAGAGCGCCCCAAGGGATGATGACTAGGTCGAACGGTCATAAACTACTACAAGACTGTTTCAGGCTGGACATAAGGAAGAATTTCTTTCCTGTCCGAGCCCCCAAGGTCTGGAACAGCCTGCCACTGGAGGTGGTTCAAGCGCCTACATTGAACACCTTCAAGAGCAAACTAGATGCTTATCTTGCTGGGATCCTATGACCCCAGCTGACTTCCTGCCCTTTGGGTAGGGGGCTGGACTTGATGATCTTCCAAGGTCCCTTCCAGCCCTAATGTCTATGAAATCTATGAAATCCACCTTTGCTTCCCAGTAAAATGACTTAACCGCTAGGCATTTAAGCTAGGCATTGCCAGGAGCCCCCATCTTCTCCTGTTGAAGTTGACACACTGGGCCAAGAAGGAGAACAAGTCAGAAATGTGGCTCAGGGAGCTAGGTACTCTCCTAGAAAGAAGGCGGCTGTAGCTTTTAGGCTTATCCCTGTTCCTACCCCGTAACGGGGCAGAGGTTCTCCCACTGCCATCAATCTGTTTTATTCAATGACTATTAAATGCAAAATGCCAAAACACCATTGAGGAACCTAAGTTTCTGCATAGCTAAAGTGGTTGTGATAAATAAGATACTGTGCTAAAATAATGTTACTGTGATGCAACATGCATTCCTACATCAAGCATAACTATGATAGCATAGGAAAAAAGTATCACACTGATTTACAACAAAAGCACCTATCCTTTAGAAGTAGGTGACATTTTGTATTGCTCCTGCCTGTAGTACATAGTATCCCTACTGTACATCCCCACTTAATGCTTTTTGGGTGGTAATAAGAAGACATCTGCCTCCTCCACCCAGATAATTTGCTAAGAGCTGCTAAATTAGGGTTACTTTGAGAGAGTCTTGTGATGTTTCATCTCTTATGCTAAACAACAAGAATGACTGAGCCTGTTACAATGTTGACCTTTTCCCTGACCTGTATTGTAAACCTTTTTTTTTTAATTCCCTATTAACTTAAGGTCAGTTTGTTACAATGGAGAAAGACAGAGGGAAGAAAGATTAAACCTTTCAACTGTCATTTCCATGTCATGGTTTTGCTTTGCCAAAATTGGAAAAAAAAAAAAAAAAAAAAAAAGAAATCTCTTAAATCTTAAAGCCACATGTGCTACTATTTTTCACTTGATTTGGATGTGTGCGCGTGCATGCATGCACTCATGCACTTCATGGTGAATTTAAATACATTTCTACCATATTTTAGTGAAATGGAATATCTTTGCAGGATTAGTCCAGCAATTCATGCCTATTATGTATTCATTCAGTGCAGTTTTGCAGTGGTCCGTATGGATTGGCGTTAAGTTGAAAAGCTAGACTGAAGAGTAAGAATATTTTAATTGAATTACCTCAATTCAATTAATTGAAACCTGAAAACATTACAGGCATGTGAAGCTCTCACACTTAAGGGCACAGCACAGTCTACCTTCTTTTCTTGTGAGGACAAACCACATTACCACATTTTCTAACACCCCCGTGTTCAATTCTTTAGTATCTGTGTACAACCAAGTATTAGGATTTAGAATGCAAACAGTTATGTTGTCAGTGTCCTTCACAAGGATGGCTTCTGATGCCTGCCTTCCATACAGCTAAGAGCTCTGATGACGAGGCCAGGAAAACAGTCTATACCTATCACAGAAGTTCAGCACACAAAACTGGTCTATACCCATAATGGAACAGAGGTTCAGCACACATAAGCTGGTTTAAAAATGGCAGAACCCAGTCTAAGATCTGGACTACCTCGCCACCACCAAAAGGCGAATGTGTGTTCTGTTTTGCTACCAACCTAAACTGCGCTGCTTACAGAAAATTGTGCAACGTAGATTGATTCTGCCTCAGGCTTCTTGAATGTCTGTACCTAGCCTGTGTGTACAGGTAAACTGTTCTTGGTGCCTGCAGACTGCAAGCATTAGGTACATCTGTCCACATTTTTCTATGTGCACAAGTGGAGCTAGTAGAAATTCTTTTTCAAAGGTATCCTTTTTTCTTTCCTCTGCCCTCTTTCTCTGTGTATTTAGAGCCAGCTTTATACTTTGGTGACACTGAATACCAGGTAGATGAAAGTGCTGGCTATGTGGAGGTTCGTGTCTGGAGAACTGGAACTGATCTATCCCGAACTGCCTCTGTCACTGTGCGTTCTAGGAAAACTGAGCCAGCATCAGCAGAAGGTAAGTTACTTCTAAATAAAAAAATATTGCTTGGATTACTTTCTGTTGTGGCAGCACAGCAGCAAGGCTAGGCTCCAGACCCTTGCAAAGGCAGTAGTAAGACTGTTACCTCTGTACTATATGTAAGTTCCTGTACATAATAATGTACTGTTGCACATCCCAAGACTCATCAAGTTACTACAAAATCTGTGCTTTTAAGAATAATGTCTGTGAGGATTTATTCTTGTCACTCCTCTTATTCAATGAGCATCTCGGGCTCTCATCAGGGTTAATGAGGAGATACAAGATATTGCATCTTCAGTAGATAGATAACACTAAATATTATTTCTGTACCATCTAACTCAGAGGTTGTACTTGAGTCTGTTCACTGACATTTTGTGTATGGCATTAAGGATGTTAGCAAACTGGTTGAAATTCAGTCTACAAAGGACTGAAGTGATGGTAAATATCTTGAGGGAGACAAGAGGAAAGAGCACAGTTGACTATCTTCTTTGAGTACATTCCTTTGTATTTTATTTGAGTTTACAACGTAGGTCCCAGACCTCTTTGGAATCCACCTACCTGAAAGAAAAACACATTTTCCTGCTGTCACAAACTCTGAGAACCAGAACTGCTGGACTCTTTCCTGTTTCTCATCCAGATATTATGGTCACAACACAAAAAATTACTTTGCAGAAATGGTCAAGGGATGAACCATTTGAGAAATATTTGGGTAATCTAGGGTTTTATAGGGGTGTCAGTTAAATTTGCTGGTAAATTACCGGTTGTCATATTAAATTCAAGGAGCAGGTGTAACAACTACTTTGTATAAGGGAAACAAAATTAATTAAATATTGTCTACTCCTGCATATATAAGTTAATAATATGCAGGCAAGGAACAAATAACGTTTCAGTGAAATTCAGATTAATCAAACTGAAAGCAATATTTTCTTTTTTTTTAGCAAATATGTAATAATGCTGTTGGCAAAATAGAAAAAGGTATTAAATATAAATGTAACTTAATATTGAAAGGCATATAATTAAATCATGTAAAATATTTATATAAGAGAAAAAGGGAAAATAGCATTTGGATATTAGAAATTGACTAGAAAACCAAACAAGACAGGTAGTATAAATGTTAAGCTGGGAACAAATGAAAACCTTCATTGCTGTCGCATTCTTGTAGGCACCTGGGCTGGTAGAAAATAATTAAATAATGTTACACTCATGTTTATGGATTAAGAGGTAGTTCTATTCCAAACCCATATTTTGAGGCATTTACTGTTTCATGGTAGGGGGGTTGGGAGAGGGAAAACGGACTTAAATTTGTCTTATTTTTTAATTATTTGTAAAGTTTGATAGAATTTTTTGGGATATATGAGATGCCCAGGCATTACAGGTTTGATATGGAAATGTTTACATTCATTTTTGTGCTGTCATAATTTAAAAAATGAAAAAAACATTTTACAAAGCCAAGGACTGGTACCTACAATAGATTTGAAAAACAGTGTCGCAATAATATGTAATTTTCTGTGATTGTGATACATCAGGGTGTGAGGCTCCAAATACACATGTGAATGCAAGTAAAAAGTTGACAGAAAAAGCCAGGTTAGATTCTGCCCAAACTTGGAGCCTAACAACTGCCCAAACTGTGTCCCCTAACAACAGTGTAGAAAAAAGCTGAAGCAAGAGATTTTTTTTGGCAAATACATGATGTTCTGTTGTGGAGGAGAAGGAAAATAGTTACTATCATTACTCAAAGGTGATAAATAGCACATTTAGATGCAGTGTGGGAAGAACATTTTAATTAAGTAGCAAAAAGCTACAGACCTATAATAAGGATCAATTAGGCAATGGGAGATGCTTAGAAAGGTAACTGTAAATACCATCAGGGGAATGTAAAAAAAAAAAAAAAAAAAGCAAGTCTCTGTCCCCACAGTTTATCAATCCAGTGCTTGAACCAACACTGAAGTCACTTTAATGCTGACTTGCTGTGTTGACTGCATGATGAGGTGGGGGGTATGCTCCTGCCATTGTGAAGCAGAAGGACTTTCACAGGTCTGTTTCAGCTCATTTGTAGATACTCGCAGTCTGTTACTTTCTTTTTGTAACTCTACATTGTAAAGTTATATGTAAACTGCCTGTGATCACTAAATACCATATTTTCTTGCATACAATATGAACGCCACCCCCCTCCCCCCAAATTGGGGCGCATGTGTTAAGTGGGAAGTTGTTTTGTTTGCTGGAAAAGAAGCACACCTAGAGAAATTGTAGACACATCTACACAAGACATTTGCTATGGAGTTGCCTAATTAGCTCCTCAGTAAATTCTTAGCATCTATACATGTAACCCTATTAAGCTGCAGTAAATTAACTCCTCCATAGGATAGAACTTGTAAACATAAGTACTATCCTATGGTGGTGTTAGTTAGTGTACAGAAACACATGTGTCGACGCTGACAGGGATGGCTGGGGAATAAGGGTGTTTCAGTACAGGGGCTGGCTGCAGGCTAGCTCCACACTAGCCAGCCCCTCCACAGCATATTGAGCCAGGTCAGAGCAGCTTCAAGCTGGCAGCCTGGCCCCTGGGGTCCCTTACCAACCGGGGCTGCTACTACCCAGCTCAACATGGTGTGGTCCCATGCACATGTAAACGTGGCGCCTGGTAGCAGTAAACTCTGGCACAAACTGTTCTGCAGTTTATTATGTTGCATTAAGTTCATGTGTGGATGCACCCTGTGTGTGCCATATTGCTGCCAAGAGAGCTGCTGCTTGTGTCTAGCTCAGCAAGCAGAAAGAGCCAAGTCCTTGTTAACGCTCTCATAGCCATAGGTGTTGGCTGAGCACTGTAGCCTATGCCTGAAGCGGCAAGTGAGCTACTGGTGGAATCTTGATGAGGCTTGTGATATGGAAACAACACTTTATTTTATAGGAATGTATATAAAGAACTGTATAAAGAACCTTTGTTACTGCCCTTGCATAGGTCTGGGGCTTAACCTAGTGACTTCCTGGGACCACAGTGTGTCCAGGAAGTGTGTCATCCCAGGAGACAGTTTGGTTTTCAGACTACTCTTGATTCCAGGAAGACTTACTCTATGCCACAAAGTCAGCCATGGCTCTGGAGAAATCTTTTTTCTACATTATACATCCCAAAAATAAGGCACATGTTTTATTTGGGAGTGTGTTGTATGTGAGAAAATACAGAGCTAAAATAGTGCATGATGCTCAGTGTATTTGCCAAATTCTTAGGGCGACTTTACATGTGCATCGATACTCCTCCAGCGCACTGTAATTACAGTGCATCAGAGCAGACTCAATTAATCGAGTCTGTTGGAGAGTAGCTTTTTATGGTCTTTTTCCTAATTTTGTGTTTCAAGTGGCAAAAAAGAAGCTTTCTAAAGTAATAGCCGTTTTTTCTTGATTTTTTTTAAACATTCCAGAAATACCCCCAAAAATCTTAATACATGAGAACGAGCAGCTATATTATTTTTGCTTCCCAAACAGCTGGAGTTGATTATGTGGGTATCAGCCGTAACCTGGATTTTGCTCCTGGAGTCAACATGCAGACTCTCCGAGTGACCATCCTGGATGATCTGGGACAACCAATGCTGGAAGGTCCAGAGAAGTTTGAACTAGTTCTCCGTATGCCTGTGAATGCAGCGCTTGGGGAGCCTAGCAAGACTACCATCTTTATCAATGACACTGTTACTGACTGTAAGTGTAACACAGAAATCTTTTCTGGTATTAGTACATAATGTGCATACACAACATACAGGAACTCTTCTGATAACAGTGTGAGCTATTTGACATATAATTATGTATTGCAGGTAATTTTTATAATTAAATTTTGGGGGTTTTGACCTAGTAAAAGAAAATGATGTACAAAGTTGGAACGGGTAAGTTATTGCTTTCACCGGTTCATTTGCTGCCTCACTCCATGCCTGTAAATGGTTGGCTCTGGATAAGTAGATTCATCATGAGCTGTAATTGTGTTAGCTAAGGCCTGAGGCACATGAGTGAATCTGTCTATTTATATGAATATTCACATCAATGGTATGGAGGCTGTTAGTACAAACAGATTGAAAGTTTCCTTAGATTAAAAGTTCTTCAAGTACCATGCATAACTTTGAGCTACCAAATCCAAGGAAGTTTAAGTTTCTCATGTGGTTGTTCAAATCTTAATATGTATCTTATATGTATCACAAGTGGCTTTTATTATTATATTTTCTGCTAAAGGAATAAGAACAGTGTGCATTGCCTGACTTGCTTTGTTCATAATCAAGTAATAAATGGAAAATTCATAAAATATTTAACAACCAGCACAAAGCCTTGCAGAATCTCTTAGTTATTCGATAAATAGACAGATTTAATCTTTACTGGTCTCAAGTTTCTGCAAATGAATTCCATTATACTGAATTGCTCTCTAACTGTATAATTCAGAATTCTGTTGAAGTTTCACTTACTGAAGTTAACACCAGTTTCTAGTGGAATATTTACTTTGCCCTAATAAGAATTACACACACAAATTTTCTATGCATCGAGCCTAGAAAAGACCCCTTAGTACCCAGGCAGAAAAAAAATACCCACAGAAAGAAATTGTATAATTTAATCAAAACTCACCAAATCCTCAGTTGCTGTGATCAATATAGCAGATGATTGCATAGGATTGTAAAAATATTTTAACATCTATATTGTTTAAAAAGTATAGGTGGATTTGAATCCTCCTTGGTTTCTGTAAAAGGTCAGCAGAGGAAGTGGATTCATGCCTTATGCTTCTGTTCCTGAATTTAATTAACACCCTTTCTCCATATACCATGGGCATTTTCATCATATAGACTCTATGGTATAATGTATAAAACCCTTCTATTTGCAGTGCCCAAAGTCCAGTTCAAGGAACCAATGTACACAGTAAATGAAAAAGACGGACAATTGGTGGTGCCCATTTATCGGAGTGGTGATATTAATCATAAATCTACAGTCCGTTGTTACACTCGCCAGGGTTCTGCCCAAGTGATGATGGATTATGAGGAGAGGCCAAACACTGATGACTCTGTAATCACATTTCTTCCAGGTAAGAGCTTTTCAGTGAGAATTGGAATTACTTCAAAGAAAATACTACCTTCACTGCTTTTGAGCAAAATATAGTGCTGCTGAGTATCAAAAGCCAAACTCCTAGGACATCTTGGGCAGAACTACAATATACCAAGTATTTTTTTAAATGAGGAAACAGCAATGTGGGCTTTCAGCAAGTGGTAGTGCTCTGTGACTAACACTTTTAAATGTTATAGCTAAAAATGAAGAACGAGGGGAAAATCAGACTATATCTATGAATTACTTGCTGTGCTTCTGATGCACTCTGCATGTATATTTATATGTGTGTGTGTCTATGTATGCACATATGTGTTTGTATATATGTATGTTTTATGTATAAACATAAAGATGTATATGCACATATACATACATAAACATGTGTGTGTATTTAATGTATGTAAAGAAAAGTAACAGAGATTTGATCCTCCTAACAGGTGCACATCAGTGATTATTTGACAAAGTGTAAACAAATACTTAGATACCTGAAACTAAATCCCATTTTGCTTTATGTACTTAAGGTACAGACAGAAGTGACAATTTTTCCCTGATTTGGCCCCAGAAAGTGGTCTACAGCTATGACTAAACAGAAGTGCATGACTGTAGTCCTCTTTTAAAAGGGCCTGATCCCATGAAAATCTGAACCTTCATTGAATTCAGATGAGCACCCTCCAAAATGTAGCATGTCCTGTAATTTGTGTCTGTGGGCAGTGGCGATGTGTAGGGGGTGCACATGCACCCCCTGAGAGTGCTGGTGCACCCCCTGACAGCCAGCATTCCCCTCTTAGGCAATGGGCAGCGGGGGCAGGCAAGAGCACTGGTGCCTCCCCGAGAGCGCTGGCCATGGAGTGGGGGCGCCAGGAGAAGCAATCCCCACAGTCCCCCTGCGCCGAATCGTGCTGACTGGGTGATGGGGGGGGTCCCCCTCAGCCAATCATGCTGACCCAGAAGTGCCATGTAAGTGCTGTGCCCCCCGCTTCCTACCTCCCCCGGTCAGCACAATCAGTTGTGGGAACCCTCCCCTCGGTCACTGACTCAGGAGGTACAAGTTGCCCATTTCCATGGGGGAGTGGTGTTATTACAGAGGCCGGGCTGTAGGCTCACAGCAAGCAGCTGGAAACCCCAGCTCCCAGACTGAAAAGTGAACTTTGGTTTGATCCAAGGGATCATTGCAACTTACAGTGTTTCCTACAAAGCTACACTGAGTTGTAATGGGGAGCTGCTCTTCTGTCTGTAATCTTAAATGGCACTTGTGAGTGCAGTTTTTGGCACTTAGTACAGTGTGGGCTTCTATTTTGCCCTGTGTTGAAATAGAATCGCCCTGCAAACATGCCTACAAGAAGTAAAAGAGGAGGGCACTTTCATTTATTAGTGCAGTTAGTGCAATTATGTAGTGCCTAGGCAACCATGTAGGGCTCAGGAGCCTAGCATTTCTAGGTTTTAGGCTCCCCCTGCCTAAGAGGAGTTTGAACTTGTCTCCTGCTTTTTAGCAAATTTCCCAGGCCCTTCATCACCCCTCTTGAAGCTGGCCCAAGAGGAAGCCAGGAGAGGGGAATTATGTGGAGAAACGAGGATTAACTTGTGGGTGTGTGGCTCAGTGAGGTGGATGCTACATTGGAAGGGAGGGGCCCCTTGGTTGTAGCCTGTATCTCTTCTCCCAATGGTTCAGAAATTTTCCCAGTTGTGTTTATCCAATTATTATGAATATTAACACTTAACTGTGCTGTATGAGATTTGAATAAAATACAAGAGAAAAGTATTACTAAATTCTTTGTTTCCACTCCCCTGAGATTATATTTAAATATATATATATATTTAGAGGACTTTAGAGAGTGTGTTTGACTTTTATCCTATCTTCTGTGGTACCATTACATTATCCAATACATACATGTCTCCTTTCTACAGGAGAGATTGAGAAGCTCTGTGTGGTAATACTGGAAGATGATGCCATTTATGAAGAAGAGGAGGAATTCAGATTAGTGCTTGGAACACCGAAAAGCAACTCCATATTTGGTGCCTCTATTGGAGAGCAGAAAGAGACCTTGGTCAGGATAAAGGATGAAGAAGACAGTGAGTTTTTAAGTGTCTTTGTGTTCAAATACCGACATTTGAACAAGTGTTGCAACATTACCAGTGGCCAGTACCAAAGGTTCAAGGGTTGTGCAAAGGTTCAAAGGAAAGTGCAAAAGGGCCAGCCTGTAATACATAGTATTCCTATTTTAATTGCAAAAAAACCTGCAATGAACAATCATTAAATGACCTATCCACAGGGGAAGTTTCCTCTGACCCTAGTAGTTAGACAATGGTTTATGCTTTGAAGCAAAATATTTAGAACCTCTTGTTTGCTTGTTTTTAATACTTGCTGTTACAACTCTGAATTCTATAGCAATCCTTATAAGTATGTAATCCCTTTATTGAATTCCGTTTGTCATGTGACATTTTGAAGCAATGAATTCCACACACACAAATATTGCATTTTATGAAGTATCTACTTCTGTTAGTTTTGAATTTATCACCTCTCATTTCACTGAATGTCTCTGTTATCGTATACTGAGACAGGGTGAATAATCCTCACTTGACCTTCTCCAGTAGTATTCCAAAACTACTTGTTGTTTTGCATAATGGGATGTTGTACTAATAAGAGAGCTCCGAACAGGATCAAGTTGAAAGAACTGTAGATTTTTTGAGCTAGACTTTCAAAGCAAATTCCTAAACTTGCAGGGATAAGGAGAGACTTCTGTGGGATGGGGCAGAATCCTGTTCCACTTTATGCACCCAAATACCAGTTTTTCAGCTATGTAAGTAGCATTTTTGACACACTCAAACCATTTTCAGTTCTACTCCCTGCACAGATAATTCCTAAACTTTGGCCTTTTGGTTAGAGCACAGGGGGTGTGTCTACACAAGATGCTATACTGCACATTAGACTAATCAAACGTGCAGTAAAGCAACACCATCTACATGTGCACAGTAGCTACTCTGCAGGAGATTCATCTAATGTGCCTTTTTCTAGTATCTGTAGATACAGGTACTAGAACTTTAATGCACTGAAGCACATACGTAGACGCTGACCAGGAACAAATTGCTCCTAGTCAACCTAGGCAGCAGAGGGCCACAGGGAGAGCTGTCCCAATTCA